GCAGGGCACCGCTGCCGGTGGCCAGGGCCTGGCGGCAGGCGGCCATGAGGGTCCTGAGCATCCCCGCCTCGCACGCGACCTGGCGGTTCTTCTCCGACTTCACCAGGCCCTGGATGTGACTGGCCACGGAGCACTGGATCTCCCGGGACAGCTGAGGGTAACCAAGCCCGCGGTGAGTGCTTGAGGCCAGTGTCTTCGGGACTTTAATAGGCTCCCACCCAGGCCAAGAACTGGTTTGGGGCCAGGAGGCCGCACCCCTCACAGCCTGTGGCCACTGGACGCCTGCCTGTCACGGGCCCTCAGCGTGGCTCACCGCAGGGGCCCGGAGCCAGTCTGTGGGAGGGCGTGGGCCCCTGCACTCCGATGCCAACGAGGCGACCCTAAAACAGGCTGCAAACCAGCAGGCCAGCACAACTGCCCAGGGACAGGTGCCCTTGGCCTGTGATGTTGAAGTAATTTCTGAATTCACTGACAAAACTCTTAAGTCTGGAGATTTTACATGAATTCCAGACATGTGGCCTCTCTCAGGACACGGACAGAGTCTGGTCAGGCGGGTTTGCAGTCCCCTGTCTGTCGAGAAGCAGCTGGGGCGGCAGTGGCTGCACCCTCGGGTGGCTCCCCCACACGTCCCCACCCAGCTGGCTCCCAGGCTAACAGCCCCGCCTGGGAAGTGGAATTCGCCTGGGAGTGAGGCCGCAGGAAATACCCCTCCACTTCATGTAAGGGAACACTTCCACCCTCTGGCCTTGAACTTCCCATTGTCCAGAACTTGGATTTTGGTAACTACAGTCCTTTAATTTGGGGGGAGAGTTGGGGAGTCTTGGGTGGGTGGGAGTATTATATAAAGCAAGATGCAAAAATACCACCACAAAGTATTATTAGTAAGAATTAGAAAGAAATGCTGCACCTCCTGTTCTCATTACCAGCCTTTATTCACTGCTTCGGGGCTTTCCCGGCCTTTCTTTTGTTTGTTTTGCTTCTTCCCCTCTTCCCCACACCCAACACCCCCCCCACCCCCAGGCAGGAATACTTTAAATATGCAAAAAAGAAAAAGTTTTCAAAACGGAGAAATGCTGATCTTGCCTAATGATGCCACAAGTTTACTCCAAAATTGCTCAATGCCCCGTAATGGAGGAGGGAAGATCGATCGCCCTCATTATCACTGCAGCTCCATCAATACCAATATCGCCTTGTTTTGAATAAAATGTGCTGTTTTTTTCAATGTTGGTTCCAGTAAAATGGGGTTTTAGTGAAAATATGAGCAGTAGCAGGAAACTGCCTCCCCTACAAACGGATTGATTTTCCTGACGCAGATGCAGGACAGGGATGGTGGTCAATTAGGACTCGGTGGTGAGCACGCAGGGTCACCAGACCGGCCCGCAGGCTGGTCCCCAGGCAAATCACCAGCGCTCTGCGGGCGGCTCACTGCGAGCTTCTGCCTTCTCCACCTAACAGCTGAGCTTTCAAGTCGTCCTTGTCCAGTGTGGATGTTCATTTTTCTTTATTTCTCTCCTCCTGCTTTATCTCCTGGTCCAGAGCCCATGCGGTCCTGGTGGGGTGAGTCCGTCCAAGAAGGCGTGGGCTTCGGTGCATCAGTCCACACTGTGCCCTGACACACATGTAGAAACCACCGGACGACCAGCGTCTGCTTCCCCCAGACACTCAGAAAGAACTAGAAATTTATATCGAGCCACTCAAATGTGTCAGAGTTGCTTGTTCCAATTTGGTTGACATATCCTTTATCTGATGATTTCAGAAGCGAGATAGTGCAATTTCAGTGACCTCAGCTTTTAGGATCAGAGAGGCACATGGGGAGCCAGGATACATAAAGCCCACGGGTTTGTTTTGCTTGACAAGCTATTTTAGTTTTTATCTTGCTTCCTTCGTTCTCGCTTGCCGTGCCCACGTGGCCTGCTAGGCACGGAGTTGGTGGCCTCGGCTCAGTGTGAGCAGCCCCGACCGAGATAAGTGGGGGTGCCTGCTCCATCCCTGCTGCCTTTTTTTGTTGTTCTTACAAATTACAGACATATGATGACCAACACTTCCTGGTAACAAAAGTGGAGCATCTTATATTTATAAAGTATTTGTCTCTTTCAACTTTACTCCCATCCCCTCCGTGGCCCCGCTGTGCTCCAGCCCTTTGCTGGATGCCCTTTGCTGGCTGCACCAGGCCCTTCCGGCTGACGCCCAAGTGGGAAAGCTCTTTCCCATCCCATCCTCCGCTGAGCTCCTACTTGTTAGTCAAGGCACAATCCGCGCCCTCTCATCTAAGAAAGCTCCGCTGACTCTCCCACCTCAGTGATGAGCAGCACCGCACCATGGCAGACGCACTGCACCTGCCTGTCCTCCCTCTCCCCCCGTCCCCACGCTGAGAGCTGCCGCGGAGTCAATAGCTCTTCACCCTCGTCTCCAGAGCACCTATCGCTGTGCCTCGGATGCAACCGCTGCCTCGTCAGTGCGAGCACAAGGCACAAGGTGTTCCAGGACATAGGGGTGCCCTACCCCAGGGGGCTGAGTGGGGGCAGGAAGGATGAGGTGCCAGTTAACTGTGAAAGGGAGAGCCGGGCAGCAGGGGGCCTGGTCTCTCTTGGGAGAGGGCACGCTCACTCGTGCAAACACCAAGGGACGAGTGTGAGCATGGCCTTCCCAGGAAAGGCTGGGGTCCTGGGCAGTTGTGAGCCTGGCTCATTCACCCCAGCACCCAACGCCCCCCCCTTCCAACCCCTCCCTACCCCCCGCTCAGTGGTCAGCCCTGAGATGGGGCATGAGAACCAGCAGGGAGACCAGCTTACACATCCACCGGGAGGGTGCCTGCCCAGCCTGGGACCTGAAACACCATGGAGATAGCTGGGCCAGGGAGCTGTGGGGCCCAGCGGGGGCTCCCAGAGACCTGGCACCGTCTCCAGCCAGACCGGTCCACCTGTGGCTGGGCCTCCTCCGCACCCAGGAAGCTCACTTGCTCTGTGTTTCTCTATCGCTTTGGTACAAAGTAAACTGCTGACACAATTCTTTGTTAAGAGACATTTTAAACAGGTTTGTTATTGTTAACAGATTTCCATCCACGACTCTCTGGAGCAGGTCCCTGAGCAAGACGGTAGGGAGCACAGTTTCTTGCAGGGATGAGGGTCCATTCACAGGGACTATGCTCCAGGCCTGGTGTTGCTCCAGCTGCCACACTCCCTCCTCCCCCTCCCAGGTCCTGGGCACACAGCACCAACTCAGAAGCAGGTTCCGTGCTGATCTGACATTAACTGACAAGCTAGGTGCTTTCTCTAGGCCTGTTTCCTTAGCTCTAAGCGAGCGTAATGAAAACGCCTCGCTCACAGGAGGCTTTTTGTGGGAGTCGATAGAAACAGCATCTGTGAAAGCAGTTTGCTTACAGGATGCAAATGTTTTGAGGATTGTTCACCCCCTTGGCTGCAGTCCTCTTTCCTCACCTGCCATCAGCAGGGCTCTCCACCTGAGCAGCCAGCTCAGCGCAAGGAGCACGCGCCTGGCCTGGCCTCGGGTCCCATCGCCAGTGACACAGCTGACGTCACCGGTGCTTCCTACTGGCAGGCCATGCTTTCGCGCAGGAGCTCATTTAAAAGCTCAGGCAAACACCCTGTGCAGGCGCTACTATCGCCCATTCACAGATAAGGGAACGAGGCCCACACTGAATCTGGCTCGCTGGGGTTGCCTGGTGAGGGAGGGGCAGGAATTCCAACTGGGAGATCCAATCTGGAGGCCACTCCATCGGCAAGCGCTGCCTGCAGGCCTCATGCTGAAGCTCAGAGAGCGCCAGCCAGTTCCAGGCTGCAGGCCCCACGCACCTGGCGGGTGCTGTGCGCAGCAGCGCCCATCCGCCTGCAGGGCAGGGGCGTGGCGGGAGCTAGATCCCAGCAAAGCCAAGTGAAACTGGATTGGTCACTGGGAACCCATCCTCCTGTGTTAGGCCAACCCCCAAATCTTACAGGGACCTAGTGCTCACGGCTCTGCCCACAAAAAGGCTGCCTGAACCTAGCCACACGCACAGTGCTGGCCGTGAAACACACCGACATGGGTTTGGCGGTTCCCGCCATCCTGAGAGGCCAGGGCCCTCTGCGCTGCAGCAGGTCAGGCTCCCACAGGCCACTGGCTCCGGTGGCTTCTCTCCACCTCAAACCAAACACCTGCTTGCGAAGCCCAGGGCCGAGCTGCTCAGCGTGCGCAGCCTGCATCCTTTTCTGCTAGTGTCTGCTCCTACGGGGCCTAAAGCTTTCCCTGTAACCACGTGTCCTTGTCTGTCTTTTATTGTTCTGCCACCAGTCAACCCGCACGCGTCTTCCCGCTCTCCTCCCAGTCTTTCCTCTCCGGACCATTCCTCTCAGGGCCGGGGTGGCTTCTCAGGCCCTCACCATCCTGCTTTCTTGCCTCCGGCAAGAACACAGCTGCGTGTGTTTGAGAGGCCAGGGGCACCATCCGTGGTGTGTGGTGTGTCTGTGTGTCTGTATGTCTGCGGGGTGTACTGTGTGTCTGTGTGTCTGTGTTTCTGTCTGTCTGTGTGTCCGTGGTGTGTGGTGTGTCTGTGTGTCTGTATGTCTGCGGGGTGTACTGTGTGTCTGTGTGTCTGTGTTTCTGTCTGTCTGTGTGTCCGTGGTGTGTGGTGTGTCTGTGTGTCTGTATGTCTGCGGGGTGTACTGTGTGTCTGTGTGTCTGTGTTTCTGTCTGTCTGTGTGTCCGTGGTGTGTGGTGTGTCTGTGTGTCTGTATGTCTGCGGGGTGTACTGTGTGTCTGTGTGTCTGTGTTTCTGTCTGTCTGTGTGTCCGTGGTGTGTGGTGTGTCTGTGTGTCTGTGTGTCTGCGGGGTGTACTGTGTGTCTATGCGTCTGTTGCCCTGAAACATGAGACAAGCGTGGTTATCGCTGCTAGTGTCTATGTGTCTGTGTGTCTGCGGGGTGTACTGTGTGTCTATGCGTGGTTATCGCTGCTGACGTTCCCTCATGGGTTCACCCATTGCTGAAGCTGCTTGAGACCCTCCACACCATCCTGTCGCCTTCCGTGCGAGTCAGTCAGGCAGTGGATCGAGTGCAGAGACCGGAAAAGGTACATCATTTCCTAAGGCCACACAGCTGACGAGTGGCAGGCCTGGCACCAAGCCAGGCCTCACTCCAACTCCATGGTTTTAACGCCGCATCGTGTGCTCATAAGGAGGAAACTTACTCCCTGACAGGATCCTAAACTGATGGCGTACAGAAATGTTGTATTTGGTGGGCATAGTTTGGCTTTGTTTTTATTTCATTTCTCCCTAATTAGATGTGAGTCCTTTAGGTCCTTCCCTACAGCCACAGGTCTTACCGCTCCCTCTCGACACCTGCCTAACTTACGCATTTCCTTTACCTCTCTGGCCCCAAGACACTGAGTCTGCAAAACCTGTGCCCTAGGCCAAGTGTGAGCTGCTGAATTTGAGATGCAGAAAAAGGAAGGGGACTATGTGAGACAGAAATAATGACGGCAAAGGGGATGAGAAGACTGGTCCCCTGGTCATTGGCCAGAGCTCATCCCTCCCACTTTCCCTCTCACTCCACCGTCCTCAGCACCGCGCCTGGACCCTCTCGTCTCCAGGCCAGAGCCTCTCCCTGCTCTACTTAGGAGACTATCCTAGAAGTCCCTGGAGCTTGACTGGGGCCTGAGATCGTTCCACTCAGAAACAATAGGGGTATTTGGGGCTCGGGTTCAGAACGAAAGAGCACGAGGAACCCAGAAACTGAACATAGTTGGAGTCTCTAGTGTGTTATAATGTAACACAGCAAGACTCCTACTTTACTGGTTTCCTTGTTGGAGGAAATGGCTCTCCGTAAATAGCCTGCCTGACACGGTGCTCTCCAGGGCTATTACTGCTGTCGATATTGTAGTTATTTGAAACTCATATGATTAGTTCAACATGTGTGAATTACAGGCTAATTCCAGAAAATGGCACCTTTTCGGAACTGAGGGACAAATGAGACGAATGCAGCACCTCGCCCAGCTTCCTCCTGTGCCACCAGACCAGGCAGGAGGTTCCAGTAGAACCTGGATGTACCAACAACCACTCGATGTTGTTGCTGCTCCCAATAAGCTCCCATGGCCACCACTTCTTTTTTTTTTAACATATTTTTATTGATTTCAGAGAGGAAGGAGAAGGGGACAGAGAGAGAAACATCAATGATGAGAGAGAATCATTGATTGGCTGCCTCCTGAATGCCCCCTACTGGGGGTCGAATCTGCAACCTGGGCATGTGCCCTTGACTGGAATCGAACCTGAGACCCTTCAGTCCACAGGCCATTGCTCTATCCACGGAGCCAAACCAGCTAGGGCTGGCCACCACTTCTTTACAGGAAAGGCCACCTGGCACAGAGGCAGGAGGACTGGGAGCCTTCTCCCAGGGACACCGCCACTGGCTACGATGTTAGCTCTGCCACTCACCTCTACAAGGTTCAGGGCCTCATCTGCCAAGTGGGAGTAGTGCTACCTGCTGGCAAGGTTCCTACAGGCACTACGTGAGAAAACGCGTGCTAAAGCGGTCGCTGCACCACCCAGCAGTGCTTCCTGGGCGGATGTGTCTGCCCACCATGCTGAGCTCCAGCATCGCTTCATTTCCTCCTGATGACAATGCCACAGGGAGCGATCACCCCACACTACAGCCACAGAAGTTAAGGATCAAAGGGTTAAATAATTTCCCATGGTCTGTGGCTGTGAAGTGGCATCTGCTGTCTTCAGAGCCTGCACCCTGCTTTCATACAGTGGGTGCTCATTAAACATCATGTGCCCCGGCCGGGCAGCGCAGCTGGTTAATGTCATCCCACTGTGCCCAGGCTGCGGGCTCAGGGACATGCAGAGCCAGCCGATAAATGCAGATAAGTGGAACAACCACAGGGTTCTCTCTCTTCCTTCCCCTCTCTCTAAAATCAATAAATAAAGCCCAGCTGGTTTGGCTCACTGGGTAGAGTGTCAACCTGTGGACTGAAGGGTCCCGGGTTCGATTCCTGGTCAGGGCACATGCTCCGGTTGTGGGCTTGGTTCCCAGTAGGGGTGTGCAGGAAGCAGCCAATCAATGATTCTCTCTCATCCTTGATGTTTCTATCTCTCTCTTCCTCTCCCTTCCTCTCTGAAATCAATAAAAATATATTTTAAGAAAATAAAATAAAATCAGTAAGTAAAATTTAAACATCACAGTAGTGATGGTGACGACAATGGATGACAACCCAATAAAGTTCACTTCTCTTCACATGGTGTTCAGAGCCCCTCCTAACATGGCTTCAAATAGCCTCCTGGCCCCACTCACCGCTTCTCTGCCCACAGGGGCCGTGGTGGCCCAGCTGAACTCGTCAGGGGCCCTAAACGGCGCCTCCTCTGCGTCTGCCTCTGTGCCTGAGCTTCCTCGCCTTCCTCCCCCACCTGCTGTCATGGGCACATCTTTTCCTTAAGCTTAGCTCCGGTGTCCCCTCCTCTCTGGCTTTCCCTTCACTCTGTCCCATGGCCTGTGGACACACATTTGTGGCGGCCTCAGAACGCTCTTCCATTTTCTACACTCCTCTGCCACCCACCCTCAAACTCAGGCTGTGAGTCCCTGTAACACTCATCTCTGGCTCCTCAGGGCACCTAGGAGGGGGTTGCTAGTTACTCGAAGCAGCAAGCACATCTATGGCAAGACCCTTGCAGCTGCTGAGCACCCCGGGAAGGGAAACTGTCCTGTTCCCAATTCGTTATTTTTTTTCCGGGACCAACTCAGCCTCAGGAGGACTTGAGCTGAGCTCCATTTCGCCTTGTGCTGGGACAGCAGCATTCACGTCAAGTTCCCACAGCACAGCTTTAATGCCGGGGATGGCGCAAGAGGAAACCAGGCCCTCTGGCGGGTCGTTTCCCAGAGCAGCTCGCAGTGCTAGTGTTCTGGAGAAAAAGCAAACCACTTCTGGGTTGTGAACAGAGCAGATGACAGGGAGCCCAGTGGGAACTCACAGCCCATCTTCTTAATAACACTGCCCTCTACTGGCACTTCCTTTCCTGCTCCTTTTTCTGCAACAAAACCCCGCGGCACTGCAGCCCTTTCCAGCGTTTCCTCGTGTGGGTTATTTCTCACTTGACTTACTCTTCTATTTGCTGTTATGAGGCTCACCCCCCTCTCTCTGAAATTAATTACTGCAATTATCCAACTTTGAATAGCACTGGTTTGGCATCTGCAGAAAATATTTGAGAAAATGCACCACTACCTTTCATTTGCATATTTTAAAGATAGGAGAAATTACACTTTTCCTAAATTATTTACTGTGACCTGAATAGAGAAAAGTCGCATACCAAATGGGATTTCATTTTCATTCTTAACTTGTCTAATTACCGTCCTAGACTGAGAGGGAGTTCCTGCCATATACTAATGTGGCAGCTCATGGGTTTATCTGAAACCCAGGCTCCTGAGGCACTAGGAGCAGGGAGGGCTGGGCACTGTCCTCTGAGCCACTCCATCAGGCGGTGCCCTAGGGGAGTTTGCACAGCGCACCAGGAGCAGCTGTCTGAGTGCTAGGACCATCCCAACCACCGGCGTAGTTCTCACTGCAAGTCCATCCATGGTACCAACCACAGCCACGGAGCCAGCTCCTCACATGAGGCGACCCCCTGGAAGGACGCCCTGGCTGCATGGCCTGCGTCCCGTGAGAGCCACGGAGGTGAGAGGCCCGTTCACCAAACACATGTTGGCCGTGGGCCTGGGAGTGTCTCACGTCTCCCCTCAGCAGCCGAGACCTGAGGAAGTTACAAAGCCCCCTGAGCCTCAAGCACATGCGAAGCAGGGACATTCTCCTGTTGGTGAAAGCGTTCCTGCATTGGAGAGTGTGTTCCAGTGTCCAGGAGGCCCCAGAGAGGCCTGTCTTGAAGGCCCAGGTGCCTTTCAGAGCCCTGGGCTGCCATGTGGCCGCTCGGAGAATCCACCTGGAGGGACACAGGCCGAGGTCAGGCGCAGAGGGCTCCGAGGCAGAGACCTCGGGATCCTACCAGCAGCTCACACCAAGGCCCGGGGACCAGAGCAGTGAGGCGCCCGGGAGCCCCGTGCATCGGAGCAGCCTGGGAGGTGCCCGTGCTGCGAGGGGCAAGGCCAGCGGTGCCCGGAGGCTGTGAGCTGTGTCGGCTGTGGCTGCTGAACTCCTGACCCACAGAAATGAGACAACGGCCGTCATCGTTACCTGGGCAGCAGTTTGTCACACAGCGACGGTAACTAAACAAGCAACCTGATCCATGTTAGCCCCATCCGCTGCTTCTCCATGAATGTTGCAAACTATGCGGCGCATTCATGTCACTATTCGATGTCTCCCTACGCGTTGGTTTGAACATCACCGTGTTGTCACTTGTCAGCAGAGAAACGGGGACCAGAAAGGGTTTCAGTTACAAAGGGACACGCAGACTGGGACAGCGTTTATGCGGCACATTCATGTCACTATTCGATGTCTCCCTACGCGTTGGTTTGAACATCACCGTGTCGTCACTCGTCAGCAGAGAAACAGGGACCAGAAAAGGGTTTCAGTTACAAAGGGACATGCAGACCGGGACAGCGTGGGTCCTTCGTCACTCCTTACCAAACACTAATTTCCCCAGTGAACGCAGCCGCCTTCGCCACTCCCCGGCTTTCTCCTCCCCGCCCCTCCCCGTGACCTCGGAGGCCTGCACTGTGCTTCCTCAGCCCTGTCATTCCCAGGCGGCGATTAGTAAAGCCACGAGTTGTCATGTCTTCCTACAACATGTCACCTCCTTTAAACTCCCAGACAAGGCAAAGCTGGGCCTGGGCCTCCACCCCCACTCTTCCTGCAGAAGCCACGAGACCCGCCGCCAGGCAGGACCGCGTTTAATGCCAGGTGGACCAGTGGGAAAGCCAAGTCTCCACCAGGAGGAGTCAAAGGTCAGCCACGTGAAAAAGGCAGACGTTGTATCACAAGTACCTGGGGGTGGTCGTGATGGTACAGCCGAGGCAGCAGCTGGACCATGATGCACAGGGCCCCGGGGTGCGTGATCACGGCATCACCTTCATCCGCCCTGCAGACAGGGGGGAAGCACACGGCAGCCTGAGCCTTCAGTCACTTCTGTTTTCCACAGACCTTTCTGGATCTTTCTAAGAGAGGCCATGACACACATCCTCAGTCTGCCACTGTTGCCTACATGCCCTTGAACTAATTAATCTGAGCTAATTTCCCCAACTATGCCATGGAGCTAACACTACTACACTTTCCTCACAGGGGTGTAGGGTGAGGTTTCTGTGCACCGAGGCACAGTGCCCGGCAAAAAGTTGGTGCTCAATGGAGGTTGGCTCCCTTGTTCACTCCCCGTTTCTGCAGATACTTGGGAGATGGTGAAGTTCTCACTTTATGTCACACACACACACACACACACACACACACACACACACACGCTTCCAGGCCTCTTCAAGTTGCTGTAAGCACACTCTCCTATGTCCCTCCCCTAAATGCAACTAAAACCCAGATGGATGCATGAGCAGCCTCCTCAGAACTCTGAGCAGAGAAGGAAACCAAGCCCAGAGCACAGGCAGCTGCAGTGAGCTTCCCGGAGCCCCCAGCCACCCTGCAACGGGCTCGCAGGGGTCTGAAACACAGAGCCATGTACTGTGTGTGGACACGACTCACAGAGATCCAAGAAGAGGCCACAATTTCTGGTCTGAGGAGCAGGAAAGGAGGCTCCTACAAGCCACCCGCCACAGCACACACACACACACACACACACACACACACGCTTCCAGGCCTCTTCAAGTTGCTGTAAGCACACTCTCCTATGTCCCTCCCCTAAATGCAACTAAAACCCAGATGGGATGCGTGAGCAGCCTCCTCAGAACTCTGAACAGTGAACAGCAGCAGAGAAGGAAACCAAGCCCAGAGCACAGGCGGCTGCAGTGAGCTTCCCGGAGCCCCCAGCCCCCCTGCAACGGGCTCGCAGGGGCCTGAAACACAGAGCCATGCACCACATGTGGACACGACTCACAGAGATCCAAGAAGAGGCCGCAATTTCTGGTCTAAGGAGCAGGAAAGGAGGCTCCTACAAGCCACCTGCCGCCACTGTGGAGAACCAGGGACTTTTTGTTGGGTTTCTCCGTTCTTTCTCTCCCAGCCATCAGGCAACCCCACGGAGAAGCCGTGCTAGGCAGGCATCTGGGACTCACGGGAGGCAAATCCTGCTCTCTGACTAGAGGAACTACGGTTCGAGTCAAAAAGTTTGCCCACCCCTGGACTAGAGGAACTACGGCCCCAGAGTGTAGGCAAAAGCCTCATTGCTTTGTCTCTTTTTCCTCCCCCTGCTTGGCCCCAGAGACAGGTAGTGTGTGTGAAGTGTGTGGTGAGCAGGGAAACAGAGGCCATGAATGTCTAGACAGGAAAGGAAGGGGCCAGGGAGTCAAAAAGTGCTGGGGAGACGGTGAAAAGGAAAAGGCGTACAAAATGAGGTCACTGAGTTCTGTATCAAACTCTGGGCTCAATTCCGAGCTGCACATGTGTGATCTGGTACTAAGCCACATTCTAAGGCTTTGAGAATGGAACTTGGTGGCAGACCGCCACCCAAGACTGGCTATCGCCTGGGGCAACATCCAAACACGCTGCAAAGTCTTTGAAACCTGAACTCATCCAGAAGCTGGGGAAGAACCTGTGGCCTGAACCCAGCTGGGCCGATTGCCTGGTAAAGCAAAATAATCAACATTCTGCAGAAAATGTTAGCAAGCGCCAGAGTCCATAACGTTCCAAATGCCCAGGATACAATCTGAACTTATTCAGCAGAGAATGAACCAGGGAAACCTCAATATCTCATCCAGAAAAAGGTACCAAGTCTGAGATGACACCGATGTTGAATTATTGGACAAAAACTTTAAAACAGCTATTATTTACCAAACTCTAAGAAGTTAGGGCTAATACTTTTGAAATGAATGAAAATCTAGAAAGTCTCAGTAAAGAAATGGAATCAATAAAAGAAATTAAATAAAAATTTATGAACTGAATATGACAGTAACTGAAATGTTTAAATCTCACTGAGTGAGAACAATAAGAGTATAAGATGAGAGAGGAAAGAGTTCATATACCATGCTAACTCTAATCCAAAGAAAACTGGTGTGGCTCTGTTAATTTTAGAGAAAAGAGGACTTCAGAGGAAAGAATATTGCCAGGAATAAACAGGTTATCTCTCTCTATAAAAACCCAGTGACCATTACAGTGGAACGACCAGGACGACCAGAACACCCAGTGGCTATGACATGCACTGCAACAGCCAACCAGCCAGATCTGGGCCAGATCGCCCCCAACACCCTGATCAGGGTGGGGCCAGCCGGCCAACTGCCTTGGCTGGCAGAAATATGGGGTCCAGGGACCTTGGAGGTGCTCGGTCTCGGGCAACTGCGCAGGCACAGCTCTCCTTTGGCGGAAGTGGACCTATGATCAGGGCGCTGGAGTCTGGAAACAATAAGAGTATAAGATGAGAGAGGAAAGAGTTCATGAATTTGAAGATAAATTACTTGAAATTGCCCAATCTGACAAAAAAACAAACGAAGAACGTTTCAATGTCACACATCATGAAACCAAAGAATCTAACTAATATTCCAGTTGTTGGCGTTCCTCAAGAGAGGAAGAAGAGTGTGGTGTAAAAATAAAACATGTTCAGGAAGGTTTTAGCCAATATTTCTTCAAATTTGGTGAAACACATAACCTTAAAGATTCAAGAAGCTTAGCTAACCGCAAACAATCAACAGAAAAGTCCATGCCCAGGCACATCATAACCAGCTGTTCAATCCTAAAGACAATGAGAAATCCTGAAAGCAGCCAGAGAAGAACAACACATTACACACAGGGAAACAGGCATGTGCATGACTGTGGGTTTTCTCATGAGAAAGCAGAAGGCAGGGGAACAATGTTTCTAAGTGCTGAAAAGAAATGCACAGAATTTCCTATCCAGCAAAACATCCTTCAGGAACTAAAGCAGAAATAAATATATTCCCAGGTGGAGGTAAATACAGAGAATTTCTTGTCATTAAATTTTCTCTAAAAAAATAACACTAAAAGAAGTCCTTCAGATGAGAAGGAAATCATAACAGAAAGGAACTTGGTATTTCAGTAATGAAGAAAGAACAACAGATGCCCTAACCGGTTTGGCTCAGTGGATAGAGCATCGGCCTGTGGAATGAAGGGTCCCAGGTTCGATTCCGGTCAAGGGCATGTACCTTGGTTGCGGGCACATCCACAGTAAGGGAGTGTGCAGGAGGCAGCTGATTGATGTTTCTCTCTCATCGATGTTTCTAGCTCTCTATCCCTCTCCCTTCCTCTCTGTAAAAACTCAATAAAATATATTTTTTTAAAAAAAGAAAGAAAGAACAACAGAAATGGTAAATGTTTGGATAAATATAATAGACTATTTTATATCTTAAGTTATTAAAACAGGCATAATGGCTGAAAGCAAATTGTAATAAATAGAATGCATATGACAACTATAACAGAAACAGGGAGGACAAAGGGATCTGCATAGAGGTAAGGTTCCTATACTTTATTTGAAGCAGCAAAACATTAATTATAAGTAGGCTGTTAAAAGTTAAGTACGTTTCTCATACTCCTTAGAACAAGCACTAAAGAAGCTAAACAAAGAGAGAGAGTAAAGAGTTCAGTAGGTAAATTCAAATGAACTAAGAAAATACATTCAAATAATCCACAAAAAGGTAGGGAAAGAGAAACAGAGGAACAAAAAAAGAGGGAACAAAGAGAAAGCAAATAAGATAGTAGACCTAAATCCAAACACACCAAAAGTGGTTTATATACACCAATTAATAGACACATATCACAGAATTGAAAAAGCAAAAGACTAAACTATAAGCCATCTACAAGAAATCCACTTTAAATATAATAATATAGAGAGGTTAAAAGTAAAAGGATAGAAAATGTATACCATGCTAACTCTAATCCAAAGAAAGCTGGTGTGGCTCTGTTAATTTTAGAGAAAAGAGGACTTCAGAGGAAAGAATATTGCCAGGAATAAACAGGTTATCTCTCTCTATAAAAACCCAGTGACCGTTACAGTGGAACGACCAGGACGACCAGGACGACCAGAATGCCCGGTGGCTATGACACACACTGCAGCAGCCAACCAGCCAGATCTGGGCCCGATCGCCCCCAACACCCTGATCAGGGTGGGGCCAGCCGGCCAACTGCCTTGGCTGGCAGAAATGTGGGGTCCAGGGACCTTGGAGGTGCTCGGTCTCAGGCAACTGCGCGGGCACAGCTCTCCTTTGGCAGAAGTGGACCTATGATCAGGGCGCCGGAGTCTGGAATGGGGTGAGGAGGCTTTCCCGGTGGCCACAGCAGTCCCTGTGGGCCGCGCACAGCACCTGGGCGTCTGGCCCTGGTCACAACAGTGGCAGGAATAGGGGCCACAGTTCACAGGAGGAGGTGGCAGACAGGAACCAGGAGGCGTGAGGCCCGACCTGGGCTCTTACCCTGCCCGCTGGGCCCAGCAGCACCAGCAGGTGGGCCATGGTGTGCAGCGAGGCACTGGGCCGCTGACCACTGACAGGAGGGGAAGTGAGCCAGGAGGGCAAGGCCCTGTGCCAGCCAGAGCCTCAAGCGGCGAGGGCGGGGCCAGAGCTGGAAACCCTGGAG